GTAAGTCCGCAGACATTCCGCTGTGCCACTGGGGGGCATATGTGGTAAGAAAAACAAGTTGGGAGGTCATTTAAGCTGACAATTGTTGACTTACTTTGAAGCTCATTATTAACGATGCAGTTTTGTTGAAGGCTGTTTCTGCGTGACCAATCATATAATCCCATCCAGTAAAAAGTTTCCACGTGAATGTACATTCCTCGTCTTTTTCGGAAAGTTTGCTCATCCGGGAATTTTCTGCCATTCTGGAAGTAAAATTGTATCCATAAAGTAAACAAATAGTGACAGGAAGTAACATGCAATTAACTATAAATGTTTATTTGATAATTCTATTCGTAAAACAACGTGTTTTCAACGCGTAATTTGATTCACTCATTATTACATAACGTTATATTTCATGTTCAGAAGTTGTTTTTTCATACGTGTGCGTATCATTAAAAAGATAATGACAGGAATTCGTATACATTCTATCAATACATCAAACGGAGATGTTAACCTTATTAAAATTAATCTATTTGATCATGAATTGTTTATTTGTTTGTTGTTCAATACAAACTTGCACAACAGGCTATCCATGCTCTGTTCACCGCTGGTATCGAAACCCAATTTTTAGTGTTAGAAGTCCCCAGACATCCCGCTGAGTCACCGGTATGGGCTTTTATTATGAAGAAATTGTTATTTTTATCAAGACTAGTACTCTTTAATGATAAAATCTGTATAAATCAGAACATATTTTTGCATTGTTAGTTTAGTGCATGGATTTAGGGCTAAGATAGATCTTATAATCTGACCGAATCTCGTGAGATATTATTGAAATTACGGCCGAAAATATTGATAATAGCGAGACTACACAATAGGCCTAAAATTGTTATAAAAACAAGTTTATTGCACATGTTTTCCTTTTTCCGCATTTCTCTTAATTTGTCCATTTCGGTTCGATACCAGAGGTATGCTAAAATACCATTTCAAATTTATCCCCCCCCCCCCCACCCCACACACACAAGTTATTGCCTAATAAACTTTTTTCTTAAATACCAGAACTCATTAGTCGATCTGGACGATGAGAAATAAAAGATTTTGTGAAATGCTATATATATATATAATAGTTTAAGAGTTGCGGTACCCAAAATTGCAGTTTAAACACTCAAAGCTGACAAAAATTAGAAACCAATAGGCCTAACATTTGTGATAAACATCATGTTAACTGCAAGCCTCTAGAGCAGTGACTTGACGAAGTCAAAAGACATATCTGAAATGCTATTTTTACACACCTCAGATTCAGAGTCCGATAAGGACAAGTTAAGATGAGTGTAAAAAAATGCAGTTTACGTGATTTTTTTAGAACAAAAGCTAGGCCTATTATAAGTTTTTGTATTACGATATTGCATACCCCTCGTTAAACTAGTATACTTGCCTTGATCAGAAATTATTGATAATAACAAGCATTCAAATTTCTTTTAAGTCATTTTCTAATCTCAGCTTTCTATAATACTAAGTCAAATACCTCTGTATAAGACAAAAATGAATTATTATTTCTATGTATTTAGGATGGATACTAAATATATCTAAACGCTTACGTAAATTTGTCGGTTTGAAAAATAAACTAAACATTTAATTTTCCCCGCAAAAAACAACCAAAAAAACATGATTGATAATACTTGTACAGAAGCAATTATTAAGATATTGCATAGGAAGATTTGTGATGCTTTATTTGTTATCTGGAACAATCATTAAGAAGTATTTTTCTCTTACCTTTACAGTCTTGTGGACATTGCGCAGATAATTCATTGTGCAGGTTTACTCATAAAACAGACGAATAAACAAACCAGTTTTTAGAAATAATCGACAAATTCTAACAAATAATTTTAGGGGCGTTCTTTGGTTATATCATCAGTCTTTAGGTAGCTATCATAATCACACTTATAGCAAACTTAAAATGTTCTGGAACGTTCTACACTTCGTTAACACAAAGAAGTGTACACTTCAGTTTTTAAAAAAATATATTTCAAATGACGTTTTGAATGTATTACTAATTTTAAAATGATATATATATATATATAGATATGTATACATAATTTTCATTATATATTTGTTTTATCTGAATTATTTATATATATTCACAGTTTTGTAATATTTTGTAGATTTTTTTACGTTATTTAGATGCTATAAAACTGGTTTAATGAAAAAAGTGTGGGGGCGTGTACGGCTTTGTGGTTAGCATGCCGGACTATGAAGCTGTGGTTTCGTGCTTCGTTACAGCAATAAAAAAATCAAACTTCTTACTTTATGACCGTGAATGTGTTATAAGAGTGACAGTCAAAACTCACTGTTCTATCTAATAAAAGTAGCCCAAAAACAGTCGGTGGGCGTTGTTGAATAGTTGCATTTCCTCTTGTCGCCCCCCCCCCGGTGGCTCAGCGATCAGTCTGAGAGGCTATAACGCTAAAATTGGGTTTCGATGCCCATACCAGGCAGAGCATAAACAGCTCACTATGTAGATTTGTGGTTAACAACAACAAACAAACCTCTCTAGTCTATCACTTCAAAATTAGGGGCAGCTAGTGCAGATCGACCCCATCTAGGTTCGAATCTCCTTCCCACCAAACACGCTCGCTCCTTCAGCTGTGGGGGCGTTATACTGTAATGATCAATCCCACTATTCGTTGGTAAAAGAGTAGCCCAGGAGCTGGTGATGGGAGGTGATGACTAGCTGCCTTCCCTCTAGTCTTTCGCTGCTAAATTAGGAAAGGCTAGCGCAAATAGCCCTCGTGTAACTTTGCGCGAAATTCAAAATAAAACAAACAAAACAAACGACCTCGTGTAGCTTTGTGCTAAATCCAACACAAGTAACAACCAATTGTTAAACAACAGAAAGGATCAAAGTTTCATTTTGTTAGAAGTTATTTTCTTGAAGTGAAATTATTTATCTTAGTTTGTATAAGATATTAATGTTACCACAATGATGATTTGTTTATCTTCACTCAGTCGTCATTTTAAGTTTTTATTTGTATTCGGTAAATGATGAGTCTTTAAGCTAGTCCATGCTTCACTTGTGGATATTTACAGTAGAACCTCAACATCCTTCCGACTGCACCTAAATACCCTCTATAGCAAAGTGCCCTTAATATCCAAAATGAGCCACTCAAAGCTGGATTCCATACTGACGGTACTAAATCTCTTAATTTTAAGCCCCCAGTTTTGTTTGGTGTATGCTGGACATGGGTGAGTTGCATGTTGCCATGACATGAAGAGCTGTCAACAGGATATCTCAGGGGGGTGGATTAGCTCTGCCCTTATTTCTTTATTTTTGTTCAGAAAGTTTCAAAGTACTTCTCTTCAGAGTTTTAACTGCTAAACATTTCACATTTATTTTCTGTGCTTATTTTACTGTAATTGAATGAAGTAGAAATATGATGAAAATAAATACTCTTTAAGGTGACACCGTAATACAATACTCTCGAGAGCAACAAAATACGCCCACATAAATAACCCGACTTGACCCCTGCTCCAAGAACATGATGTGGAATTTATCAGCTTATGTATACTACAATGTTTACAGCGATAATTCCCCAGAGTAATAAGATTGCACTTTGAATCTGGGAAAACGTTTACTGCAGTTTATGGTTCGGAGCCGATCCAGTAAACATCGCAATGTTTGAATATTGGTCATCCTTCTGGGATGTTTGTAATTTAGCAGTATACTGTATCGGCATATAAAGATAACTACACGTTTTATCGAGTGCCCCTTTTGAGAATGAGACACTGCCCTTAATCCGGAATATTGAGGTGTCTGTTAATCGAGGTTCTACTGTATCTTCTTGCCAGTGGGTTATTAGTTACAAATAGACACCGTAAATACACTACAAATGAACACTACACAAATTAACCGTAATTAACTATTCGGAATAATTAAGCAAGTATAACCTCCACAAAATATCTGTATTGTTAGCGATGTTTTAAACGTATTTTTACGAGGACAGTTTTGTTAAATTTTCTTTAATGAACTGGTTTTCGGCATTATTTTTTGAGAATGACTGCTGAATTTTTTAAATGATAACGAAATTTTGTATTTATTTTAAGGTGACTTCGTGTACTAAACTTGCCTCGAAACAGGTTAACATAACAAGTTTGACACAGAAAATACTTAAATAATATAACATCTATGGCAAATCCGATATGTGATTTGTTTAATAAATCAGAAGAAGATGTTTAAAGGGGTCTAGGCTTATCACTGGTTCGCTTCTTTGTGTGATACAAACACCTCAGTAAACATCATTGTAATAAACCCTTGTCGTCCCTTAGCAGAGGTAAAAAGGAACTATACAATTCCATGAAAAATCTGAACATTTGTTTCTCACATCTGACAGTAATGTACAAGAGCAAAGGTATCGTCTTAATCAAATCAATGAATTTTCTAATGTATTACGAATATCTAATCAGTTATTTGATGGCGTAGGGGTTAAGTAGCCTGTAAGATAAATGGTAACTTTAATAGTAAGCAAAAGGATATTTCACATGATAAGACATGATTTTAAAACAATAAACAGCTCATTTATACATACCTTCTAAGAATCGCAAAAAAGCTGAAAATATACACGGCTAAAGAAGTGAGAAAATATGCTAATGGTAGACGATAACCTTCTTCGGTCATTTCTCTGTTGCTATAGTAACCATAGAATAATGGCGAATATTTCAGGTAGCCCTAGAGACAGATAAGTAAAAAATACAGTAATAGACAAGTAAATCAGCATTGACTGATCATCTAGTTCTATAGAATACATATTACAAGCAGAATAATATTAAAAGTTAATAAAATGACAGTATGCGTAAATAACAACTTAGATATTCAAAATCCTCATCAATAAATTCGTCACAAATCGTATATCAAGTGTAAAATTAAAAATACATAGTGAAACGAATATACACATATATAGGGTGACTGTACAGTTGTTTCATTTAGAGCATAGTTTGATATCTAGCTATTATTCTGAAAAACACAATAATTAAATCCGTATTGTACCACGTGTATGCTACAAGCTTTTGCCCCACCCTATATATATATGTGTGTGTGTTTGTGTATATTGTATAGATAATATTATAAATATAATATAATAATTACTGCTATTATGTTTCAACTTACCTCAAAATCCCAAATCGCCTTCAGATTTAGAGCACTATCCTGCTCTTCACTTTCAATTTCTTTCCTCATCCCTGTAGAATCGTCTTGACCTCTCAAAACCTTCCACAAATCATGATAAATTTAAATACATAAAAGTGATCACATCTCAAAAGTGAAGACATCTCAAAAATGGATCATGCTAGGTTTACAGCATGTTAATGTAATAATTACCCGTGACTTGCTGATAAAAAACACAACACCAGCATTGCTTCATAACCTACCTTAAATTGTTACATAAAATACGTTAATACATTATTATTTAAAACTGTAAAGGTTGTTGCACACGAAAAAAAAAATCACTAATGAAAGTAGTACTCACACTGGATTCGTTTCTAATGACCTCAATTCAGTTCGTTTGCTTCGATGAATGTGCTAAGTTATTCACACTTGCCTTGTGTACAAACATGCTGAATTCGTTGGAACTTATCTGGAGTTTGATTTCATGGTTCTCTTCCATGTTTTGTCAGCACTCACCGAGATTTTCCGATGTTTATGTTTTAGTTTTTCAAGCGAAACAAACTTAGTTATTTTAATAACCGTACCGAAACTATACACCTGGAAAAAAGTTAAGCACCCCCAAATATTTTTCAGGATTGCTTATTGAAAATAAGGTTTAATTTTCATGATGTTGAGCAATGTTCATAATTTCAAACATAATTAAAAGAAT